GGAGTCCCTACTCCCAATTGCATCCCAAACTGCTATTAAGAATGGGGATACCTGCTTCATGCTTCAATCCCTATTTGACTCTCCTAATCTCAATCCCCACTTTCTCATCTAGAATGACCTAATGATGCTTATACTGCCAAACCCTGCTTGCCTTCTACTGGGTCTTGACTGGTTTGTTCCCAAATCTAAATGGAATCTTCATCAACTGACTCTGGCTATACAACACTAAACACAACTGTATAAAGAGTGAAAATGTCATGAGTTTATGGCATTTAGAGCCATAGGGGATCTTAGAGATCACTCTCCCTTAAATATTACAGAAGAGAAAACTGAGGCCCTGAGAAACCATGGAATTACAGATCCGTAACCTTAAGCCAGTCATTTAACCTCTCTGAGCCTCAGTTTTCCCATCTGTAAGATGGAGATAATACTTAAACCACCAAAAGGAATTGAGAGGCTATCTATCTGAGCCACCTTATTTTACAAATGAGGAAACTGAGGCTCAGGAAGACTCATCAACTTACCTGAGATCACACAGATGTTAAATAGAATTAGGCTCAAACCCAGATCTCCTGACTTCACCAATTAAGTTAAATGACTGAGTTTAGGGAGACTGCACAGTACCAAAGAACCAGCTTACTCCTTCAAGTTCTGTGTGAATGCTGCCTATTCAGCAGTAAGTCATTAGACTATATTAAAAAAGGATGAGCAATTTTTAATAAAGATGTGTAATTTTTGTGTGTGTGTATGTGACAACATAAAATACTTTCAATGCTCAGCACAAAGTATTTTATGGGTTGAGCTGCTGACCCTTGCTTCCAGTTTGGCCAGAGCCTGGCAAACATATCAGCCTCTTTAATGCTGGATAAATTTATTTCCCTTATACTTTTTTGTTGGCTACTGGTGCCTGCAGGAAGCCTTTTGGTCCCCATCAACAGATCTGATTTCTTTAGAACCCCAGCCCTTGGAAAATAAATTGTGAAAGATTATTCCAGAAGTGAAGGAACAGAATTTTATTGAGTTGTTTAGGAATGAACAATCACATGGCAGGACCATGTCTAAGTGAGGTATTTGCTCTTTTCTCCCCTTGAGCAGTTTATTCCTACCCAGCATCAAAATCCTAGCCAGGGCTGAATCAATAAATCAAGGTCTTTGTCATAGAATTGTTTTGTGTTTTCCCTGTGCTAGTATTCAGGAGAAGCTTCTTGGACCCCAAGACTTACTAAAGAGCAAACTCAGGATTACTTTTCTGCATATCTCCAAAATGTAATGTTCTTCTCCCTCTGGGGCCCCTAATTGCTACCGCCGTGATTTGCCTTTTCCTCCTTTACTCACAACCACTGCTACTAAATCATGCAGCCCCTCCTCGTGAGGGTGATGCCTCCGTGCAGGGAGGGAAGGCCTGCCTGTGTCTGCTTCATGGAGTTATGATGAATGCAGTGCTTGGAAAAGCTTTTAATGCTCTATTGAATTGGTGACAAGAAGAAAATGTCAAAACTCTAAAAACAGACCCAAGTTTAAATGTGGTCTCCAAGTCCATTAGCAGTTTATTCATCCCCTGCCTTGGTTTGTGTACACAGAGGTGATCTCATACTATGTCCAGTGGTAGTTGTGAGTGAGAGCAATGTGAAAACAATCAAGCTGCTATAAGCAGGCCCCAAGGACAGAGGATCTCGTGAGAAGGGAGGGCAAACAAGTGGCATCAATGTCTCACTCTTCTTTTCCAGAATAAATGATTTCCAGAGTTTCTCTGCTAGACTTATCAGCTAACCCATCTCTGGCCGTGGACCTATGTTTTTGCTAACTTCCCACATAGAGTGTGTAGATTTTTTTTTTAGGAGCTGAAAGGAACTTTAGAAGCATCTAGTCCAATGCCTTCATTTTTACAGATAAGGAAACTGAGGCTCAGAGAGACAAAGAGACTTGCCCAAGGCCACACTGGGATCAATCACACTGGAACCCACAGGTCTGGATACCCAGTCTAGATTCCAAACAGTCTAGTTAGTTTTCCAAAGGTACATTTGAACTACTTCAGAAATAACTGCCTGGAATGGACAAGAAGTAGTTCAGGAAAAGTAATGTGCCTGTGGAACTTTTTACAACTCAGCAAACCTTAGCTCTCCTGAACTCACTACTGTATCACTAATTTTCTAAATGGCAAAAATCTATTAGAACCTTGATATAAATCCATGTCCCCATGAGGTAGAAGAACTAGTCATGTATTCTGACCAGAGAACTTTGACATGATCAACTATGTCCCCTAGAAAATGAAAGAAAATCAAGTTCCTAAATTCAGCAAAGATCTTTCCATAAGTATTTAATATCCACCTAGTGTATACATAATTCTTTGGTTTAAGGAATATTATATGAAAGAAATATATGACAATAATAGATCTAAACTGGACCTTAGAGGCCATGTAGCTTAATTTCACCATTTTGAAGATAAGTAAATGAAGGCCCAGGAAGTTACACAACTTGCTTAGGGTAACACAAATTCAGGGGCAGAATTTGAAGGTCTTTGAATTCTAGAGCTAGCCATCTTTCCACTGTCTCGCATTGCCTCAGTTTGGCTGTATCTATTTAATATTCTCAAAGGGTTTGGGAAGTAGAAAATATAAATAGTGGGCAGTCATTTGGTGACTGTTAAGGCAACTAAAACACTTTCATAAAAAATAGAGCATTTGGAAATGTGTAGGAAGCCAACCTTTTTTTCTCTTCTGCCATTGACTTGCTACCTGATTATTTAAAGGATGGGAACTGTCAATCCCAAACAGCTTTTTGTAAGGGAATTATGAGCATCCATGGTGTTTGAAAAGCTGAATTTAGTTCTTATGCATGTTTTAAGACGAAGAAGTCAAGTCCTGCTACCTGGTAGGCATGATACTGTACATACCCTTCCACAAATTAAAGATAAGAGAGCTCACTATTGTTACAGGGCATTTCTAAAAGAATGGGCCTGTATAGATAACATGCATTTAAGAGTCAACAAGAAAGAGTTGCCATGCATTGACCATTACAAACTCCCCCAGGATTCTGTTCCCATTCATCCCATGCTTCAAGACCTAGCTCAAACTCTGTAGTTATGACTCCTCATTGGCAATCCCACCTTGGGTCTCCTGGCATATCCAAACTGTCTTCCAGGAGAGGGACCTAGCTTCTAACTTGACTGTCTGTCCATGTATCCTTACAAACTCCTCCTTGACACCTCCAGTCACAGCTATTGCAACTGCCATCCAACTCTAACCTGCATTCTCTATCACCCCTAACTTGTTTGCCTGCCAGCTAAATCCTTCTATTATATAGAACCAATCAACTCCTCCATTCATATTTCAAATACTCTTCTCCATATATACTACACTCCAGCCAAACTGAGCTACTCACTATCCTGTGCATATACATGTATATGCATATATTTGGATAAGTTTATGTATGTATGTATGTGTATGTATGGAGACAGAGACAGAGAGAAGTAATGGCACCCAGACTCTGTGTATCTTTGCTCACATCAGGTTGTGCCTAGAATGTTCTGATCCTCATAACTGTCTGTTGAAACCTACCTATCTTTCATTATCTATTTCAAATTCTATCCTTTATGTGGAACTTTTTTAATACTCTGGTGGAAATTATCTTTCCTTCATCATATATCATATACCTCTTTGTGATTCCCTTGTGCATTTATGTTCTATGTTGTACTGCAGATTGTTTGTGTATTTGTTACATCCCATTACTAGACTGTGAGCTTCATGATGGCAGGGTCTGTTCCATATATAATCTTTGTATTTTTCGCAGTAGCTGGCACAATGCTTTGACCACAGTAGGGACTTGTTTGTTGGAGTGAACTAAATATTCAACAGTAAGAAAAGGCTTATGTTTTAGCAACATGCCTCACTCCTCTACATCATTTCAAATACTATACTTCCCTAAAAACCTATCTTCAGAATTATCTCCATAGAGCCCTCCCTGATTAGACTCAACCCACAGTGATTCTGGTTCCTACTTTGAATTTTGTCAGATACTCTGTGTATATTCCATACAACATTATTGTGTTAATCATATATGCATACCTCGAAATTCATAGAATTATAGAATGTGACTTGGACAGCACCTTACAAATTACCTAGTCTAATCTGCAATGGAAGAGGAATGCCCTCTGTTGAAAAGTGATTATCTCATCTTTGTTTAAATATCTCCAGTGATGGGGAACTCACTACCTTTTATAGCAGTTAATTTCATTTTTGAATGGACCACAGGATCAAAAATTTAGAGGTAGATGGAACCTTAGACATTAACTATCTAATGCCCTCATTTTTCAGATAAGGAACTAAGGCACAGACAGTTTAAGTTATATGCCCAAATGTCACACAAGTTATAAGTTACAGAGCTGGGATTTCAACACAAGTCCTCTGGTTCCAAATCTGACACCCTTCCACTGCACCAAACTGCCTCCTAGATAATGATAATGGTAATAACTAACATATATACAGAACTTTAAGGCTTTAAAAGTGCTATACAAATATTATTTCATTTGACTACCCAACAATCCTGTGAGATACATTCTATTATCTTCATTCTGCAAATGAAGAAATATCAGTGGTCAAAAGCTCACCATTCTTATATATGAAATTTTCATCCAGAAATCCAAGGCTCATTCTCTAGTACCATCCTGTTAGCCAGATATTCACTTCCCATATCCTTCTTTCTGACAATACTTTTGTTCTCTAGTACTTTTATTCTACTCTAATATTATTCTAATGCTATTATCTTAATGCTTTTATTCTCTAGTATTTTTGTGTATACAAGTGTTTTCTCATCAACTAGACCTTAACTTCTTGAGGCTAAGGAACATGCTTCCAGCTTTGTTACAGATGTTGCAGAGTGCTATGTGTAAACTAGATGTTTAATAAATATTTGTTGAATGAGATTGGATTAAGTTGACTTTATTAAAACCTGATGTATATATGATTACAATCTTTCCTTATTGGACAGGGCCCACCATGGACTGAGACTTGAGGTCCCACATGGTACAGACTTTGGGGGCCAAGAAACAAGAAAGGGACATGGTCATGAAGACTTCTCATTGAGCGAGTGGCCAGAAGCATCTCAGTGGTCAAGTAGAGCAAAGGTAGGTTCTGCTACCAAAGGTATGGGTTACTAAGCTGTCAGTCAGTAAGTTATCAAGTGCCTACCATGTGCCAGGCACTGTTATAAGCAGTAGAGATACAAAGCAGAGGAGTTGGAGGCAGGGGATGGGTCAGAAGTATGAGTATCAAAAAATAGTATTATTTGAAGTATAGGTAAAGAGATGTGGTCTGGGACATATGGAAGGTTCAGACACTGAAAAGACAAAGAAGGGAAGATGAAGAGGGTTTGCGTTTCATAAAACATCTGAGATAATTTGCATCACTTGGCATCTTGCAAGTGCATGTATAAATCCCTTCTTGAGCCCAGGAGGCTGGTTCTGCCTTCTGACTTCTAAATTATCTTCAGCTGGACAGCTCCTTGCTGCTTCCAAGAGAAGTATCCATCTCCAAAAAGCAATAGACAATATAAAGCCACCAAATCAATCATTTTCCTTAAAAAAAAAAAAACCTTGAGGGAAGGGTGGCATTTGTTCGTATATGTCAAGGCCAAGAAATGTTTCTAGAAAGTATGCAACTGAACTTCTACGATCAAAATATAGTCATGATTTCACTGTTTAAAGAATCCAACTTTTTGATAGAATGGTTTAAAAACTGACCCATTCTTTCCACTAAATTCTTTTAGAAGGGCATGAGATCTTTGTGTCTTGGAACCAGAAGAGATATATTTTACTGGCTTGCTGTCTTTGGCTGCTAGGATATCAGTGATCATAAAAAATGGAATGTGGATGGTGGGAAAATAGAATCTCAGAACTTAAAAAGGATTAAGAAAAAGGATTGCAAGTGACAAGAATGCATTAGGTCACAGGAAGGAATCAAATCCATGGGAATATAAATGTATAATAAAGATAGAAACTTTGATTCCGTTAGGTTATTCTTGAATTAGCAGTCAATTCATGGGAACTACATTAACTCCTCTTAGTAAGGCCAACCCAAAGCAAAATGTGAAGGATGCAGTTTATCTTTCTTGCCTTCTCTGCTAGTCTTAGTTTTGGAGCTCTGTATTTGGGATGAGACAGTAAAATCTGTTGAGGGCCAGAGCTGAAGAGTCTAATATGGGATAAGGAATTTAGGTTAGAGCTTGACTCTTTCCTTTTCCTACCTGTAAGGGCTTATTTATTCAGAATATTTGGCTCACCAATTCCCCCTGCCTAGGAGGTATTAGAATACTCTGGCCCTTAGACCTTGATAGCAAGTAGGTGTGAACCACTAAGGATATGCATAAGGGCTGGGGTTAGTCATGTAAGAATTATGGGAATGCCTCGGGGGTGATTGTTAGCTTTCACTATTTAAACTGGACCCTCAGAATAATAAATGGCTCAGTCTTTCACTGACCCTCCTGGCCCACATCTCTTCATTTTGCACTCCTCCATTTGAGCAACACTTAGTCGTGGGCGACAGGTGGCGCCCAAACAGGGACCTGAAAAGAAGGTACAAGAGGAGTGGCTCTCTTAGGAACTCCGGAGAAAAGAAAAACCTTGGCAGCTCTTTGCTGTGGAAACAAGGTCCTTGGCAGCTCAACACTGTGGAAACAAGGTAAAGAGAGTGATGGTCACAACACTCTATCTTTTAGCAGTTTTAGGGCTGAAAGGACACCAGGCCAAGTGGGGATATAGGGGAAAGAAAAGAGAAAGGTTCGGTAATAGGAGCATAAGAAAAGAAAAGAAAAAGGGCTCGATCATAAGAATACTGTCACTTTGGAATGGCCACGTGAACTTACTTTCGGTTTTGGGAGGCATGCCTAGGATCGAAAGTATGGGTCAAACATGGAGCAGAAGCAAAGACAGAGAATATTATCTACAACTTTTCAAGGAAATAGTGAAAGAAATAGGTTTATTTATTACAGATGGTCAGTTACAGGAATTTTTGGAATGTGTAGAAACATGCTGCCTATGGTTTCCTCCAGAAGGAACAATAGACTTAGAAACATGGGAAATGGTGGGCCAACAAATGAGTGAGTACTACAAAGAAGTAGGTCCAGGTACATTCTCCATAGCTACATTCTCAATTTGGAACATGTTAAAAATATGTCTTACTCCTCCAGAGAAAGTGTTATTAACAACAAAAGTACTTAAGGCAGATGTGGGGGTGGGAACTGAGGAAGAAGAAGAGATAGAGTATTTGAGGAAAAGCTAAGAATTGTAGAAGAAGATGTTATCTATGCAAAATCTATCACACCTTCAGCACCACCACATCCCCTACCTTCATATAGATCAAGCTCATACAGAGAAGATAGTGAGGAGACAAATAAAGATAAAAAAACCCATAAAATACATTGTAAAGGGATATTAGAATAAGTAATTATAAAAGCAGAGGAAAAAGGAGAGGAAGTACCCATGGAATTAAAATTAGCTGTGCCAAAAACTATGCTATTGCCAGTATATGAGGAGGAAGATGTAAATAACCCAAGTACAAACATCAGAATTCATAGACAGTTTGAATTTAAATTGTTAAAGGAATTAAAACAGGCTTCAGTTAATTATGGACCTAATAGTCCTTATATACAAACATGGTTGGACACAGTATCCAATACAGCATTAGCCCCATATGACTGGTATTCTATAGTAAAGACATGTCTTGATCCTGGAGATTATTTCCTATGGAAGTCAGAATACTTTGAGCAAGGTCAAGAACAAGTAAAATATAACAACAGAACAGGAGTTCCTATTTCTTTCAAACAATTAACAGGAACAGGGAGATACACAGAATTACAGGAAAAATTGCAATTTTCCCTTCAAATTTCTCAGAATAATAATAATAGTAGACAATTTGTGTCAAGGGTCTTTTTTAACAAGCCTCTAATTTCTTCTCTCGGTGTCATTAAGTGCACACTATGTCACTAGCTATTGTATTTGTCCTGTCAGTTTGTATGTTGGGGTGTGTCTCTGTATGTAACTATACTTTATAGAATTTTAAATGCAGCCAGAAACTTCTGGGGGCTGCAGCTAGGGAAGCAACAAATTGTAAAACTCCTTTCCTTGTGGATCCAGGCCTAGCCAACCTGGACTTACAGTGAAAAGTTTTATACAGGTAGAAACATCTTAGCAGATTCTGAGATTTTGAGATTAATCATTAAGAAATTGGGAAATTGTTCATTTTGGGACAGTTAGAGAGAACTTCTGAGACTGGGGGTAATTCCAGAAAGCTTTACAGGGAGGTAAACTTAATATAACTGTAGGAGAAATGATCCAGAGATGTCAGGATATAGGAACCATACATTTTCAGGCACAAGTGATGTCAGCAGCATTTAATAATACTTCAAGGACTCAATGAATATTAAAATGCTCTAATTGTGGGAAACCAGGTCACATAAAAAGAGAATGTAAGATACACAAAAGGATACCACAAAATTCTCCCAGTATGCTCTGTCCCAAAGGTGACTGTGGTACTCATTGGGTTTCTCAATGTAAATCTTTTAAGAGGAACAGAAAGGTTTGGAAGCACAGGGATGTTTTGATGTAGAACTATCACAGATGCCAGACCTACATTAAAGATGAAGTACAGGGAAGAGATTTGCTGAAACATATGAATGTCATCATAAGTAGCAAAAAAAAATTTTGTAGGGGTCACAGCCGAAGATAAAAGAACAGTACAAGTTCCAAAAATAACTCGGAAAGAAGGGCCTCCCATGTGGGTGGACCAGTGACCACTTAACTTAGAAAAAATCAGGGCTTTTCAACAGATAGCAGAGGAACAATTAGCTGCAGGACGCATAGAGCCATCCACGAGTACATGGAACTGCCCAATATTTGCTATCAAAAAGAGGTTAGGAAAGTGGAGCATATTGAAAATCTTAAACAGACAAATCATGGCATGGAAGAACATGTTGAGGAACCTTTGGAACTTACAAAACCATTGACCAGTTATAGATAAGTAGTTTAAGCAGCCAGAAGGTGCATCTTTGTAAAGAATTAAAGTAGATCAGCTAAAAACAGCTGGAAAAAGAGAATTGTTATGGAAACCACATACAGGGTCTTTTAAATACCTAAAGATTAAACTTAGATGTTAGCAAAATAATATTATAGTACAAAATAATATTATAGTACTAAAAGATACAATAAAGTCCAGAACAGGGATCTCTATTACTATGGCAGATTTATTTCCCTCCCAGAAAGCAAGATCATATATAATTGCCAATCTCAGCTAATTAAGATGCTTTACATCAGAGTAACATGAGTGTTTCAGATGCTGTCTTTGATTCTGTAAGCAGCCAGGGCCCCACACCCATTTGTTCACCAACATTTGTGGAGAGGCGGAAAGCTCAAGCAGCTTAAATGAATGATGATAAAGTAGATAATGAAATTGTACTTACAACCAAAGTACACTTTCCAAATATATCAAAGAATAGGTAGTAGACAAATGGCCAACAAGGAATTGTTTGCACATACTTCAAGGCATTCAAATAATACAATGACACTATGAGTGACATGTCCTACTGTGAACTTAGAGAAATTGAATTTCATTATACTGAGTTTTTAGGATATTTGGAAATTTTCTGATTAAAAGCACCTGTTTATTGGTTAGAATATCAACTCATGGCAACCTGTTTCACTGAGCCACTGTACAAATACAAAGATCAAATCCACTGGAAGAAAGTTATACACAGAAGTTCATAGCAAGTGACCATTTCACAGGGAAGTCATTGATGCAAAAGCACTATTGGAGAATAACAAGTCCCTGGTTTTTATTAGCTTAAATTAAAGCTGTTAAGACTTTATCTGGATACAGACACACTCCAAAGGCAATGTGGAATCGATTCATCTTTTGTAATTTTTACTGACTTATCTGGTCCAAGTCAGCACAGAGTGTGTAAAATAAATGTTCTAAGATGAGAAGAAATAGAGTGGAAATTTGACTATTATACAGTGACTGCAAAACAAAAGCTTTTAGAAAAACCAATTACATTTAGACTCCTTTGGATGTAATATGTAATACAAGTGTTCAAATGCCTCTTGGAAAGGAGAAAAGGCACAGAATAGAGCAC